CCCCAAAACCCCAAAACCCCAAAACCCCGAATATTAGGTAATTAATTGAAAATAATTAAAAGGTAAGCAGTTTAGTAAAATTTGCTCTTAGAAAAGGAGGGCTTTGAGTTTGTCATAAAAAGGATAATAGTTGATGTTAATATAGTATATGTCAACGAATAGAATAGAAGAGCTTGAGAAGATGTCAGATTGACGTAAGTAATAACTAACTTTAAAGTTCTCTCGAGCTGCATGATAAAATCTTCAAAATCCAAAAACCATAAACCTAGCCCACAAAATTTTCAAACCCCTCCAAGTCCTCCCAGTCGACATCAAAATCCTCTAAATGACACCAAAACTACACCTCCTAAATCTTTCAAAAATTCGCCATCAACTCAAAATGACTCCCCAAAATCTCCCTCAAAAATGAGCCAAAAACAAAATTTCCCGATTTCCTCTGCTAATTCCTCCACTTTTTACCAAAATCATCAGAACTCACTTAAATTTGTGAATTTACAAAAGTTTCAAAATTATCAAAATTTGCAAAGCTTACAAAATTTTGCAAGCTTTCCAAATCAGAGTGATTTTGGCTCAACTTGAAATTTTCAGCAGAATTTGAGTATTGAGAATTTTCTGAATCCTCAAAGTAATGGCCAAGAGCAGTTCCAGTGGAATCATCAAAGATATATTGACTTCTCAACTCAAGATGACCGAGCATCTGATGATTGTAAAGATTCTTCCAGTGCACAAGAAGCTGATAGTAAAGAAGAAAGTTCTCAATCTCAAAGTGAAGTTGAGGCAAAATATGGAAAATGATGTCAAGGATGAACTCAACTTCATGGTGATGCTAATAGAACCTGAATTTGCCAAGTCCCAGCCAATTATAGATTTAAGAAAATTGGGCCTGAGGGATGTAATCTCTGTGGCTGTCAAGGGTGCTCCAAAGAACTTGAAGGAAAGTTTCATGCAAAGCAAAAGCCTAAGAATGTCTCCAAAACTACCCCTGAAGAGAAGAGCCCTCCTCCTCAGCTTATTCCAGACTGGAACACTAAGAAGCTTGAGTTTACGAACCTCCTGAAACTCTTTATGCAGTGAGAGAGCTCTAAAGCAGGTGTGGGTATCCCTCAAAGAAGCTATAGCTACATCATGGGTAAGCCTGAGAATGAGAATTCAAACGCAAATGACTACTCTCTCGAAGTTGGAAATGACAGTTATATAAACCAGAATCCAAACTGGAAAAAGACTAAAGATAGTAAGAAAAACCTGAAACCTCAGAAGAAAAATCTTGACAACGATGAGGTTAAGAACAAAGGAGAGACTAAGAAAAAGTCCAAGGTGGAATATCTGAACCTTCCTTTACTTGGTACAAGGATAGAGATTAAGAGAGAAGATAAAAATAGAGAAAAACCACAAAATAAGAAAGAACAGCAGTCCCAAGAGAAGTTGAGCAATGAGAATCAAGAAAAATTAAAACAAGAGACTCAAGAGAAGTTAGATCAAAAGCCTAAAGAGGAGCTGAAGCAAGAGTCTCAAGAAAATATTGAGATGAAACCTCAAGAAATGACTCAAGAGAAGCCTGAGATAAATACCCAAGAAAAAGTAAAAGAAAAGACAGAAGAAAAGATGGAAGAAAAGATAGGAGAGAAAACAGAAGAAAAATGCGAAGTGAATCTTAGCACTAACCTTGAGATAAAGCCTCTTAATGAAATCTCAAAGGAGATAAATAAAGACTCAGAAATTACAAAGCCTTTTCCTCAAGCTATTCTTGAGAGATCAAGCAGGCTAAAGAAAGTTTTGCGTTCTATGAGCTCAGCTCCATCTAATCCCTCCCTCTCTGATCCAACTTCTACTCCTCTCCCAGGAGCCCAAAATGCCTCCGAGGAGACTCTAAACCAGGCTGAAGAATCTAAAATTCCTTCCCCTCCTTCAGCAGGTCCAACAATTCTAAAAACCTCTCCTCAGTTCGTCCAAAACACTGACCAAAAAGAAGTGAAATTTGGAAATTCTGAAGTAATCGAGTATTCAAATGAATATTCTAATTCTGATAATAATGCTAGTTAATTTTGTAGCTTCAATTATAAGTAAATCTTAAGGGGTTTTGGGGTTTTGGGGTTTTGGGGTTTTGGGG